AACGATGATATGCGAAGACGCATATCAGTATCTTCAACTACATGGACAAAATGATCACATGAAGACAATGGACTTGAGCCAATCACCACCATCATCACCAAAGTCACCATCATACAACAATGAGGAAGAGAGATTAGAGGTTGTGAATTTGAGTGGCATGGCATTACAATCTCTCCCAAATCCATCCCTCAATTTGGCAAATATTTGCAAACTTGATCTCTCAAACAATCATATCAAGGTTAATAATACTTACACATATATACACATCAATTATATGCATAAATCTTGGTTTCTAATGTTTCTTTGGGTTTGTTTGTGATTGATAACAGAACATACCAGAATCTCTAACAGCGAGATTGTTGAACTTGATAGCATTAGATATTCACTCAAACCAGATCAAAACACTTCCAAACTCCATTGGTTGTCTCTCTAAGCTCAAGCTCCTTAATGTCTCCGGCAACTTTCTTGTTTCCCTCCCCAAAACTATTCAAAATTGCAGGTTAACCTCTCAAAGATTCACATAACAAACTCTCAAATTTGAACCAAACCAATTATATATGATGAACTGGTTCTTTTTGTCTCTCTTTCGTTTTGGATTTTCCCAGGTCACTAGAAGAACTAAACGCCAACTTCAACGAGCTAATTAGATTACCAGACTCCATTGGGTTAGAACTAACCAATTTGTGGAAGCTTTGTGTCAACTCGAACAAGCTTGTTAGCCTACCAACCTCCATCACCTACCTCACTTCCCTACGTGTCCTTGATGCTCGTCTCAATTGTCTTATGGTTCTCCCTGAGGACCTTGAGAACCTCATCAATCTCGAGATCCTCAATGTCAGTCAGAACTTCCAATATCTTTCTGCTCTCCCATCTTCTATCGGTCTTCTCATGAACCTCCTCGAGCTAGACATCAGCTACAACAAGATTACAGTGTTGCCTGAGTCCATTGGATGCATGAGACGGTTGAGGAAGCTGAGCGCGGAAGGAAACCCGCTCGTATCCCCACCCATTGAGGTCGTGGAGCAGAGCTTGCAAGCGGTCAGAGAGTATCTGAGCCAGAAGATGAATGGTAAACTAGTGAACACCGCCGTGACAAAGAAGAAGTCATGGGGATTCTGTAAACTGGTTAAGTATGGAACATTCAATGGTAGATCAAGGGCATGGACAAGGGAAGAGAGAGAAGGGCTTATGATGCCCGAGTACCGTCCTATTGATGTCTTAGCTTCGACCAGGTTTCATGTGATGTGCTCACCTCGACGTCTTTTTTCTCCAAGAACTTATTTCAGCAGATAATAATGACGCAAACAGTAAAGACAATTCAATCTATCAACCATTTAGTTAAGTCATCACTAAATGTATAAAGAGTATGT